CTGATCAGTGACATTCTTCAGAGACTCCAAGGTTCTAATGTTCTCCTCACAGGCCCAACATAACTCCCTCTGAAAATCACATGGGATCAGTCAGGTATTAATGCAAAGGCAAAATGAAGGATGAAAAGACTGAGAGGCGTTGAAGAATCGCTCGCGGCGCAATCCCCATCTGAGACTCAAAGGTGGTTTATGGGTAGAACGCAAGGAACGGAGTAAACATTACCTCAGATTGGGTTTCTCCGATGCAATCGTTCGATTCGGGTTCTCAAGCTATGGGAAAGTCGCCAGGGTTTCTTGCGGCTAGTCATTAGCCTTAGCTAATGCGAGCTGAATGGGGCGAAAAGGAAAGAACTCGAAGGTATCCCAGGCATCTACGTTAATTACTGACACGATCTCGGAACGCCACGGGGGGGGGGGCTGCCATCATCGTCGTCGTCACGGATAAGGACGATTTCTCAGTACCGGTGAGTCCAAGTACTGCGAAAGGAAAGAAGGGGAATCTCTGGGTGGCCCCCAATGCGGTAGGTCAGGATGCAAAAAAAAAAAAACCAGACGGCCTGCTGAGATAGAGAGGACAGTCAGACTGATGGATCATGTCCTTGTCCACTTTCAATGAATGAATATGAGGGAAATGCAAAATGGCGGAGTAGACTCCCTTGACCTCACCTAGGGTGTCTTCGGTCATGGGATCACGCAGGATCCAGTTTCATCGATTCGAGTTTCTTTGATGCAAGGAGACACTGAAAGGGCTTTTCATGCATACGAATCTTTTATTTCCACAATGCTAAAAAATAAAAGCATGCAACAGGCACGATACAAGTACTGTACCATACATAACAAAAAAAGAACTGCATCTTTTTTTAAAATCCAATATTTGGAATGGCACTAGAAAAATAAACCCCGGAACTGAGATATCGAGAGATAAAAGGTGATTCCCTTGATTGAACACAGGACTAGTTGAGCCTTTTTTTTTTGTCAGTTTCCAATTCCCTTCAATCCTGCTAAGAGTGTTGATGTTCATGGATGCAAACAGAGGAAGGCAAATCCTTTCGTTCTCTTTTCTTTCATCTATTCACCAAGATGGATAACAATTCTGTACATGGAAGGTGGGCAGACACGTATACACTCATGCAAGCACCGCCCTTCCTCTAATAAAAATTAAAAACTTTGCAGAAAAAAAAACCTCAGGATCAAGGGGGATTCAGGTACACAAAAACAAAGCCAGTCGAGCAATCGATTGCTTTTATACTCTTTCCTCCTCCCAAGATAAAATTCACGTGGGAGGATTGCCTCGGATGTACCTGAGCTGCGGAGCCCAGGAGTTCGCAAGGTTGTTGATGGCATCACAGCATCGCGGCTCAAGGACGGCTGCCATCCAACAAAGGACTACCAGGAGCATCTGAAACGGGAACGCCGCCCGGAGGATTCTCCAACCCCAACCAGAGCCACTCTTCAATCTCAACTCCTTCTCCTTCTTCCACGCTTCCTCCCTTCGAAAGACAACATAAAAAAGGAATATTAATGGGTCCTCCAACCCCAACCACAACTGAAACTACCCTCAACCCCTCCTCCGTCCACACTTTTGAAAACGAATGAGGGAAGAAGACAAAAAAGAAGTTGGGGGCTGTATATGATTAGAGGAGCATGCCTGGATCCCCTCCCCCTTCTCACACAGTTCTTCTCCCTCCTCTTATTTCCTTCTCCCCAAACAACTCTCTGAAGTACCTATTTAGCGCCATAATTCAAGGAGTCGAGAGAAAGGGGAGAACGGATTGGAAGCCGGAGGGACTAGAGACAGAGGGAAAGAAAAAAAAAAAGAAAGGAACAAGAGGCACAGATTCCTATGATTACGCAGGCGCCACGAACCCGCATAGAAACGACCCTAATTTTTTTCTTTTTCTTTTTTCCCTTTTCTTATTTCTAACGAGACAGGATTTACAGCTCCCCCGGGATCTCTCACCTAGCAGGGGTGTCAGATGAAGCATGCTCCGGGCAAGTCGCCTTCTTCTTGATGGACAGGAGCGCCTTTTGAAGACTTGCTACCGGCGGGGAAAGGGGCCCGAAGGCAGCCGATAGCCGCTGGCACATCTCCTCCATTCTCGACTCAACCTATGCGGGAAAAAAATTTGAAATTTCAATTCGAGATGGAGAAAAAGCGGGAAGGAAAGAGGAAAAAAGGGAAATGGAGACAGATGAGCGCTTCGTGTGTAGAAGCCATCGGCCACGCACGACAAAGCATCGGAAAAATGTCCAGGAATTAATAAACGGCCAAGGACTTCATCCTTAATCCGCCGTAGATGAAATGATTACACCTCATTACAGGCTCAATCCGTGACGAGGGAGACGGACTCGAGATGTCTGATTCTCCTCTCTTTTTTAGTTCCCCGTAGGACAAGGATAAAGAAGGCGGCCAAAAGGGAAAAGGGGAGGGAAAAGGAGGATCATGAATATTCCATTTGTGGGGGCTCCAGGAGAGAGAAAGAGTGGACCTAGAGGAAATCCCCAATGCAAACAATGGACGAGGGAGCTCAAGCCAAGACCCGCATGATAAAAAGCTTCTCTCTTTTTTTATATATATATATAAAAGATTTTCCTTTATTTTATTATTGATGGAGAGAAGTTGCGGAATCTTTTGTTTAGCCCTTTCGGAATCAATCATGGTGTGTGACCCAGGAGGAGAGAGAGAGAGAGAGGCTTTCTTTTTTTCATAATCTCTTCTGCTCTATGATAAACGATTCTCTCTCTTGGGTGAAAACCCCCCACAAGAGTCTCTCTTTTCCTGTGGTCCATCATCCCCATGATCATCCTGGGTTGGTAGCCCTGGCACTGGGTTCCAACACGGGAAGCCCCTGGCCTTTAACATAAACCTACCGTTTGTCTCTCCACTGGCAGCTCCCACCATTAGCATATAGATGGGATTAATCCTCTCCTCTCCTTGGATATACCTCCATGCCTATGATGGCTTTTCAACACAAATAGCCTAGTGGCACCTGTGCCACCAGAGGTGTACCTATCTGGGCTAACAAGGACTTCCGCTCTCTCTGTCCCTATAACCCTCTTTCTCATTAACCCCCTTCGTCAGTCCTTGACCCGCCTGCACCCTTGTCCTTGACCTTGCTCTTCATTATCAAAATGAGGCTTCATTACGACCAAGCAAAGACACACAAAATCAGCCAATGATTAGCTTACCTGGGAGAGATGAGGATCATCATGGGACTGAGAGGAAGTGAGATCAGACAAGGCAAGTTCGGCCTCCTTCCACACGTTCAACGCTTCCGCCCATCGACTCATGCATTCCTTGGCCCTGCAAACAAATCTTCATTATTGAAAGAAAGTCCATGCCCGACGCCAGCCTCTCTGTTTCATCGAAGCTCACCTGGTGTGAGTGTCATCCCAGAGACGATAGAGATCGACGACGGCGTCTCTGAGATCCCCGAGTCCGAGCCCGGCTGTCATCATCCCGTGAACGGACATGTTCACCGTGAACAGAGATCCCTTCTCGCCAGTCAGTTCGGACAGGACCTCCTGAAAAGAGAATCCGCAATCCTGAGTTCGGAAGTTGCAGTTTATGCTTCCTCGATCGCCATTCAATTACTGGAGCCGAGAAAGTCAAAAAGTCTCCGGCGTGACCGAGACGTGAGATATTTCTGCAGGGGAGCCCAAGTGGGTCGAATGTGACGGGAATGGCCAATGAGGGAAGAAAGCCAGAGGGGAAATGCACAAGAAAAAAAAAAGGATATTTGAATGGATGCATTATTGGGTAACTTTGGATATGAGAAAAAAAAAAGGCAGAGTCATACGGGGAGGGGGGATTAGGATATATCTCCTCCCTTCCTGGCGAGTGTTGACGTGACATGACACGACGTGGGGAATTGGCTGTCAAATGCTTAATGGGATGTATCAATCAATATTAGGCCGCCATTACCTGCTTGCTAGTGGAAATGAAAGGGAGGGAGGACATGGGAAGAGAAGGGGGAAGAGAAAGAAGAAAAAAAAAAGGCTCCCCATTCCCGCCTGGTATAATGCATGTAAAATGCTCGTGGCTTTTACACGTGGAAGGGCAGAGTGATGTATGGAGTCGAGCCATCTAGGGTCAAACAACAGAGTTTTTTCTCTCTCTTCCATAAACTTCCTTCCTTGAACCTGCAACGACCGAGACCGCCCACAGACCCTTGCTGGTCCCCGTTTTATCATCCCCCTTTCCATCTCAACATTTTTTATTCTCACCCATTGCACACTTGCACAGAGGTCAAAGGACGTCGACTTCCAAGTTTGATCACCTTCAGGATCATGGCAGACCGGTTTTCGTAATAATCACTTTCAGAGGGAAACACTTCAGTCTTCAGTATATTTGTTTAAAATGAACATCCGATGGCATGACTTGCACGAGACCCTCTTAGAAGGGGGCTAATGACATCTCCTTTACCTAATGTCTCTAGAGATCCTCTCACATGTACATAAGGGGGAACATCATGAATCCCCACGATACTCAATATGAGGTGAGGAAGTTGGAAAGAGGAAGTGCGACGGCCAGGGTTTTCTCTGTATGTGTGTGTCTGTGTGTGTGAAGCAGCAGCAGCAGAAGCAGCAGGCTCCATTCAATTACAGGAGCTCTGGGCTCCATATAAGGGTTGGTACTCCCGTCACGTTTCCCGTTTCTTGCCCGAGCCTCGAGAATGCCTTCATCAGACCCTTCCTCCCTTCCATTTTCCCTCCTTCTTCCCTTTTCTTCCTCCCTCCGAGGATGAAGATGGCTTCAACTGATATAGAAGGAGAAGAGGCTCCCGTCTTTGTCGTGCTCGGAAACGACAAAACGGGATCTGCATACAGTATCTACACAGACTTCATAGGGACGTTTCCTCCACTCCGTATATGTCTTTCCCAATCAAACAAGGAAGGGGAAAAAGGGACCTGACTGGATTCGGAAATCAGGGAAGGGAGATGAAGCACAACATAAAACTCGAGTGACAGATGATCTGAATGGACAAGAGGGACATAAGGGAGGAATATCGAGGAGACACAAGAGGGGGGGAAAGGTAAACAGAGGAGGAAAAAAGCCCATGGATCCCTCCCAGCAGCCAATATAAAGGCCCAGAGACACTGGGTAGGCGATGAACGTGATGCCCATGCTCTATGAGAATCGGGAAGGACCGCGAAGAAGTCATCTCCTCTTCCCTTCCTCCTTCATCAAAAAGCTCTGAGATAATCTTGGCCACCAAGTCCATCCTGGATATCCCTTTCCTTCATCCCTCCCTTCATTTAAAGCCAGAGGAACAACATAGAAGACGTGTCAAAACTTGCCTTTTGTTGAAAGTTGGCCATTACATAAAATTATACAAAGAAACAGAGTTAAAGTTTTCACGCTGAAGAAGCTGGGTCTGAGATCGAAGTGCATCAGAGTGTCTCCATGTCTGCATGGCGATTACATTTTAAAGAATTTTATCAATATGATCGAGAAGAGCAACAGCTGCACCATTTTCGCACACTAGTTTCAAGAATAATTGATATTATCTGGAGGTATATAAATACCACCGTGCATCTCACATGGGGCGTGACCGATGCATCATCAAATGATTTGATCACAGGTTTTAAATCCCTACTCAAACCCACACAGAACGAAGGTATAAGAAAGTATATAAAAAAAAGAGGAGGAGAGAGGGGAGCGAGCGAGCGAGAGAGAGAGAGAGGGGAGCAAGAGTACTGTATTTACAAGTCTCATTCCAATGCGTCTTGCCGTGATGGGCATAAATCGAGGGGATATACGATGCACTCTCTATGCCTACCTACTTACCTATACCTATACCTCCCGGGGGCAATTTATGCAACCCTTTCTATGCATGACTCTATATGTACATGAAACAGACTGGTCGGAATACCCGGTTGATCATGGCATGGAAAGGAGGAGGTAAAAAAAAAGAAAAGAAAGGAAAGGAAAGATGGAATGCCAGACGGGGAGAGACAGACTGAGATTGTCGAGTGAACAACAAGAATGAATCATCCACACCAAGGATGCATGGAAATGGAATTTTCCACGGCACCGATCATGAAGACATCCGGCCTCCACCTCCCTCGTTCTTACTTTTTACTAGTCTACCAATTTTTTTTTGCCACACCGGGAATTCTCCATCCACGTCCCCTTCTCCCTTTCCCCTCGCAGGCCATGCCACGTCAGGCACTTGAAAATGATTCGTGGACCCAACTGAATAAGAATTAAGATCCTGGCAAGGCAACCAAACGATTCCACAACGATGCGAACCCTCGCTTACTGTTGCATTCTCCCCGCACAGAGGGTCAAGGGGGAAGTCAACGTAAAAGGGGGGGATAAAATGAAGAGCGTGCCATTCATCAGCATGAGAGTTAAAGGGAGGAGGGGTGAGTGATGCACCCATAGAGACACCCATGTTCTCAGTCTTGTCCCTCTCACCCAGGGGGTCACCCATTCCCATTCCATCAAACCCACGTCTCTCTTTCACATTGACAAAAAAAAAGTCCCGTCTCCCTCCTTTCTTCCCTGGATACTCCCCCCTCACCCTCACAGATGACCTCTGAAATAGCATATTTCACCGTTTGGAGAAAGCGGGGAAGAAAGACCGATAAAAGGTTCTTTTATAAGGGTTCTGTCACTCACTTCCGTCCGGTGGCTTTGCATTTTCATTATAATGCAGGGCTTTCGTGAACACCAAGGCAGTGAGTGAATCACCACTACCTCGCAAGCCCATATGGGTGATCCCGCACAAATTACATTGCTAAAATATTCAGGACACATGATGGCGATTAAATTTGGCATTAGATCCGGCCTGGAACAGAGACAGAAACAAAACGATGCAGTTAATCTCAAACGTTCTTATCGCAGCCAGTCTAATTTCTGTGTATAGAAAAGATGCAGACGAAAACCGCGTGGGATGTTGGCTATTACATAAAAAAATTATTGCCCCGGTGACTCCCTTGTATCAACCCGACTTCAAAGGACAAAAAAACAGCAATTAGCGACATCGTTAGAGAAAATACGATGAGGACAGGATTTTTTACAGGACAGGATTTTTACCAAACAGGTGGCAGCAATATAAATTCCGAGGCATCTCTGGCATTCCGATGGGAATTTCCGATATACTGAAGCGAGGGAAGAGAGCACGTCCATTAGGAATGGGTTAATGAACCACTCCAGTCCCAGAGAGAGGCACATAAGCCCTTAACCTTCAAACGGGAAAAACCACTCTTCCTCTTTTACTTTCCGCTCTTCGAGAAGAGGAAGTTGGAGTCTGCAACGCATGCAGAAGAACCGCGAAAGTTATTTGCTTAAATGTCTGTCACCTGCCTAGGCGTGTGAAAGCAACGGAGTTTTTCACACTAAGTTCCCTCTGTTGAGTCCCCAAAAGATAACTTTTCGAGATATTAATGCTCTGGAAGGGTTGAAACCGTAAACCCAGGTGCAGACTATCTACTGTCACACTAATCTAGAGCTGCAGGCGACGTCTCTGTTCATTTATCTTGTGCGGTCCCCCGGAGTTTTTAAAGGCTGCGAGAGACCGTGAAGGTACATCTAGAATCCCATCGTTTCAAATCGCTTTTGATTGGTATATAGGTGGTACTCGAGTAATACATATAAGGCTCCTTTTAATATTAGGTCAATGGTAATTCCCATCAGTCGGGGAGTGTTATTTCGGTCATGAATGCAGTTCTTGAAGTCCCTGAATGCATCCGTTTCTTACTCCTCACTCCCCCAGCGAAAGTAATAGGCTCGATTGTTTCAACTTAGGCGGGGGCAACCTGTATCTATCGGATAGAAACTAATGCGAAAATCTTCCATACCTTTCTTGACAAATGGAGCAACTTCGTGCAGTTAGTCAACTCCTATAAATTGCCGTCAAATATGGTTCAGTTGCATCAAATGAACCGTATTTTTTTCCTCCCCCAAAATAAAATCTGACTCTTGTCCAGGTAAGTACGCACTTTCGTCTTTTCAGTTTCCATTCATTTTAACCCATCCTCTTACAAAGCCTTCGACTCGACGGCGTGACATTACATGCGCTTGACTTACTTAATCGACAACCTTGCGTCGACTTGTCTGTTAGTATGATATATGTCCAATATGACGGCATCAAGTTGGCACTTTAGGGTAACTATTTGTGTGCAAATGTCGCTAGCGAATTTTCATCAAATTAAATGGTATTTTATTGGAAGCTCCAGCAAAGATGGGTAAGCGGATGGGTTAAAAAACAAAATTCCTCCACTTTTCAGTTCCATTTGAGAATCATTTTCTAAACATTTTTTCTTATAAGGCTTACACCCTCCCATGTGCCATGAATTCCCTTCCTTTTCAAGTAAAAGTTGATGCAATTTTTTCACATTTCACTGATCGCCAAAAGATTTCCTATTCTACGGGAACGCTACTGACTCGAATGCACGCCATCAAAATATCAAAGCAGGTCCGGACTCCGAGCCTTCAGAGGCGCCTTCCGCAAAAAACTCCCCCAGGCACACAATGAAAACAGGGGATGACAACATGGCACCGGAGGGGGCCCGACCTGGTCACCGTCCCCAGACGTCCATCCATCAATGGGGAGAAAGAGAGAAAGAGATTGGGATACGGAATATCCCCCAGGGATGCAAGGACAGACTTTCAAGGATCGGGATGCGGGACACGCAGGGGGATGCCCCATGGCCCGTGAATGTGAATCCCGGTTCCATCCCTCAAATTTCTCATCATCACGTCTTTCACACAACCATCTCCTTTGAATCCTAATACAGTATTTACACCGGGAAAGTACCTCGATCAAGAATGAAATTAGGGGCGCGCCACCCGGAAGTAAGAGAAATACGTGAGACCTAAAAAGAATTAAATGTATTCCCCAATATATCAAACGGCGGCAGAGGCTCTCTCACCTGTCATCGAAATTCCGGGATTACGGCTTTCGAAATGACACATTAAAAGAATTTCCTAGAATATCAGTACAGGAAGACAATAGAGCACTCTCGACTTCGACGAACCATTTCCAAGAAAGCCAGACTGAAATCATCTCCACATAATCTGCCATAAACCAGGTAGCCGAGACAGGGTCTGCCACCTGTCGAGCAATCGACGAACTAAGCACGATCCGAACAAGCAGCTCTCGCCATCTACCCACAACCATAAGAACCATTCAAAAGCTGAAGGATGGGTCCTGAACCAGGCCTGCCCCCATCTAAGACTGGAAACATCATTGTTGCCGATTCTTGGAATGTCAGGAGAGAGAGAGAAAAAAAAGTTAGGCTCCACGATTGACTATTCGACTCCATGATTCATTCAAGAGCCATTTTTTAACACGAGATACCAATGAAGAATCGATGCTTTCATCTCTGCCCTTATGAATCTCAGACTCTCATAATAACGACAGATAGACAAAGCCATAAAGAGAGGTTTACAGCACCGCTCTATACCTACAACCATTTCTATTGGCTTTTCTCCAGCAACTAGCGTGCATCGAAGGGTGAACTTCCATTTATAACCTATAGCTGCCAAACCAGATTTCAGGAAAATGCACTGATGAGAAAAGATGAAAGAAAGGAATTTTACATTGCAAGTATGCTGAACTCCACTGTCCCACATCAGGGTGATTATCACATGCAAAAATTATTTAGGACCATACCAAATTGCTGCGCATCTTCAAATGCGTTTCAATGAACAGATCTGTTGATTTAAATTCATTTAAAAAAAACCATGATCATAGGATTATTATGCAATTTAATGAGGTGTAACAAATTTCTGAACTTGCAACCCAAATTTACTGCTAGGAAAAAACTGTTACAGCAGCAGGAAAGCATTTGAGTTTCTTCATTTCTCAATAGAAGTGATATTAACCCTTTCTGGTCCATTTTATTTGTAATGCTATGGATATTGTCGGACTATGTCCACCAGTGGATTGCAAAGGGTTAACATGAATGAATGAATCCCATCATGGCACAAATTTACAGATGTCCTCTGCAGAAAATTCAGTGGAAATTGAACCATTGTTGTACAGCATTGTTTGTCTTAGTCCTGGGGTGTGCAACCCACAGCTTGAGGACCTACTTCTTGCAGCCTGGTAATGCATAATGGGATAAGAGATTAAATAAATTTTATTGTGGACCCAAGGCCCATCACAACTTTGGTCATCCCTTAATAACCAGAAATAGACAGAGTCCTTTTTCTTCCTTCCCCTAATTATTCCTCATGCAGGTGGTGCTACATATGTCCCAACGAAGGAGGTTCTTAGAAGAAAGGAGGATCTTATGGTGGATAGAATGTGTTCAAGTGAAAGACACTCATGATGGTTGCAACACACTAATGACGAACATGCAGAGTTTATATTTCCTGAATAGCCCTGAGTTTATCCTGGTTTAAAATTTCCTCTAACCTTGATGGCTTCAAGTTGAGAAGAAAGGTGCTGGGTGGAAGATGAAGAATGGGCCTGGGCTTCAAGGCCCTGAAGTCTCTGACCCAGAGATAGAAGGATTTTCTTCAGCGCTTCCACTGCAATCTGAGTTTCACCTGCTTTCAAAGCATTCTCTGATTCTCCCTTCACCTTCTCCTGGAGTCCCTTCCACTCTCTCAGCAGCTCTAAGGACATAACCCATTATAATGGATCAATTTGAACCCTTGGTTTTAACAGGATGAAAAGGTACTGTGAACCCTAACCTAGTACTTGTGGCTGATCAGTGACATTCTTCAGAGACTCCAAGGTTCTAATGTTCTCCTCACAGGCCCAACATAACTCCCTCTGAAAATCACATGGGATCAGTCAGGTATTAATGCAAAGGCAAAATGAAGGATGAAAAATATGATCAAGTAGGCTATCAGCAATGGAATAAAAAAAGATGCAACATCAGGGGAGAAATCTTACCCAATGACCAGGAGATGGGGGTGGAGACTGGGCCTGGAAAGAGTGGAACTTCTCGGTGACAAGATCCAGTTGCTTTTGGGAATGAGACAGGAACGTTCCTGTCTTGGCCCTCTCTCCCTCTGAGTCAGAATCCACTTCAATATCACTCAACTCCCCTGCTTCCATCTCCTCTCCCTCCTCCCTTCTGCACATCTGCCAAGTAAAACAAGTAACATGAGTTAAGCTTTTCTTCTACATTACAAAAAAAAAGGAGACCTCAATACACTGACATAATGCAACTGTGTATCTATAACTGACCTGTTTTCTGCGAAGGGTTCGTAAGGAAGAGCGTCTGAATGAAGACGGGGGATTAAACCCTGACGTTGCGTCTGACAGACTGTCCAAGAAATTTCTATAGTCATCCCCAAATTCCAGAAGGCGCCTCACTGCATCTGAGTCCATGCCATCTTCACTGTAGTTATCACTCCCATAAACTGGAGCCTGCAAGAGAGAAAAAAAAAACCAAGATTAAATTCATTGAATGAATGAAGAAATTCAATTTCTATATAATGAAGAAAATGCTATTTACATCACTTCAACAATCAGTAATCAATGGCAACAATTTTCATTTGATGCAATGCAACAGAATTAGATGCTTCATAACCTGCTCTCTCCCTGTTTGGCAGTCATGATTGGAACTTGCAGCAATGAGCTGTTAATGCAAACTTTGACTCACTAAGAGTGACAAGAAAAAGAACATTTCTTTATTGCAACACTTGTCAGCGAAAGTTGAATGATTATGAGCTCCCTGCTGGGTAATATGAAGGGTTCTTATCACAAAAAAACTGGCAAAGCCACAAACCAGAAAATGAGAAGAAAATTGCTTAGCACCTAGCCAATTAGTCTATAATGAGAATCAGTCATTCCATCACCACAATGAAGGTCTATTTTCTCCTAAGGCATGATGAAAATTACAGCGATATGTAGCATCTGTGTGCTTCTTTAGGAAGCTCACAGATGCTCCACTTGAATATTAAAATCCTGTATTCACATATATGCATTATGACTTCTATCTGATGGCAAGAAATTACATTAACTCTGATGTAAAGAAAATATATAAGACTCCCTCTCATACCTGCCTGCAAAAAAAAAAAAGCCAACCCAAATATCCTCCAACCCTCCTCAGGAGGAAGAAAGTAGATTTTCTCACAAATAGTTGGGATAAGCATATCTATGGATTGTAAATGTATAGCAGGTGACTGTGAATTAGACCTATGACTTGGTACAGAAATAACATGTTTTTTTATCGAGAGTAACTTCCAAATTTGGCACATGGATATCTTGAAAGGGTATTGTGTGAGAAGTATTTTTGCTTGATTTTGCCAGGTTCATCCAGGAACTGCATATTATGCCTCATTCCACCAAGCTCTCCATTGAAAAGCACAGCAAGGTTTGCTATTTCCTGAAACTTGTGTTTCAGGAAGTGAAACCTTGACTATTCCACTTTTTTACTTCAAATTGGCTCCTCCATGGAAGATGAACTTACATTTGCTTCAGCAATTTTTGAAGCAAAATAAAAACAAACTAAAACACTGCAAAGTTAAGATGCATGGCAAAGTGACAGTCACTCTCAATTTGCACTAACAAATATTCTTGACAACATGCTCCAAAACACGTGGTTAATGGATATACAGATGTAGCATTTTTCAGCTACCATTTTGTCAAGAAATATGGCATACTTTGCAAACACTATTTTACTTATGTTTACAATACATAGATATGCTTATCCCAACTATGTGTGAGGAAATTAATTTCTTCATAGAAAAAACAAACATGTTATCCTTTCATGCACAATCCCTCAAAAGAATTGGAAATTGCAAATATTTCAATATTCAATAATAAATTGCTCTTTTTCACAGTTATACTTGAAGATAAGTGCAGTTGTCAACACAGTGAAGCTCAGCAATACTGTTAAATTAAAAGAACATAATGAACTTGGATGCAAAAAAACTTTCATGCCTGTCAAATGATTTTATCCTCAGCTGAGGGCATGATTAAAAAATCTACCTCAAAATTAATTCCCCTTTAGGATTAAATAAATTACAATTCTCCTATCTCTTCATTGTAACAAGATAATACTGTGCTTCCTTTTTTTCAGCAATGTCAAACACGTCATGATGTGGACTTTTCCATTGAGATTTTAAGAATAGAGGGTGAAGGAAGAGACAACATATAGCTCAGATCAACAGCTGATGTAGATGGCTGAAAATTGAAGCCTTCAGGATCACAATTTACCTCTCACACAGGACAAAAAAAAAGCAGAAGCCATAGTTCTAATTCACAGTCACCTTATGTTTGGGAATACCACACAGAATTACAACAATGGTATTAATATGTTGACTGCCACATGACACACCAATGTGCTACATTCATCATAGGGAGGAACAATGGTTCCAAACCCCTAAGTGATCCATGTGTTAAGGAAGGGGTACTGCATTTTCTTCTCACCTGGTATGGGTCCCAGGCCTGCTCAGACTGTGAACTGAACCCTTCATGGTCTTGAGCAGACTCCACACCCAGAGGAAACAGATGAGGGCCAGAGGCATCTTCAGTGCCACTGGAAAACTTTCCAGCATCTCCTTTCACAGGGTCGCTATGATAGCGCACCAGCACCTCACTAGTCTCACCAACATCCTCGTCACTCAGCATTCGACCTTGGGGGTAATGAGGTAATGGCATGAGAAAGAAGTCGAGTCATACATCAAATTTACCCACAAAGAAAATGAGAAAACAAAGTTATACCAGAGAAGGACTTGGACTTGACGATCCCATTGCTCCTGGCTTTAGAAAATGGGCTTCGTCTGTGATGCAGAAAACTCCTCCGTCGTTCCCTTTCGCAAGAACGGGCTTCACCCCATATATTCTTTGAAAATAGAGTAATAAATTTTCATTCTATAAGAATGGGCATATCCAACCAGTCATACACAATCAAGAGATGTGTTATCTCACCTTGGGCCTAAGGGGCTTGGAATGAGAAACACGAAGAAATTTCCTGTTTTTTGCCGGAGAAACCATTCTCATGTCGTTCTCCTGTGTCTTTATTGCCTCACTGCTATGGGAGGAAACAAAAATGGATTCATAAAATAACTGGCAGGTATTGGCAGAGGAATTTTCTACCAGCACTCTCTTACCTCACAGCTGTCTTCTCATATGCAGATTCCCAGAGAGGAGAAATACTGAGGGAATGAATGGCACTTTCAGAATTTGAAATCTGATGTGTGTCCCCCAAAGCAACAGCAGGTCGATTCCATAGTGACAGCTCTGTCACGCTCCATGGTCTCTGACCACGCAAGACTTTCTTTCTCCTCTGAACCGCCTTCAACAACAGCAAAGAAACAAGAGTGAGAATAATGCATAAGGAAAGGCCATGCATGTGAAACTAAGCAGGCTGAAACAAGATTATGTAACTCAAGACATAATAAAACACTCACTCTCTTTGGGGATTCGAAGGTGACTGTGCGATCGGCAACAGGAGTGCCCTGGTCACTGATTCCAGAATAGCTGTTGGTGAGAGTGCCTTGGCGACATGTGAGCACACTTCCATCCAGATCCTCTGAATTATTGCTCTCCAAGTCAGAATCAGCCGACGATGTGTATTCGCCACTTGCATCGCAGCTATCTTCTGGCTGTGGAAAGAGGTACAGCAGTTTAACAATAAAGACCATACACAACTGATGCAACCTGTACACATAAATACAACAATTCATGAGTAATGATTACAATTAGTGTTTGGAACAGGGAATTTCTGCAAATTGAACTTGGATAACCTCTTCATTCTTCAAAGATACTTTGATAAAGGTGGCCATTTCAATTGTAATTACAAAAACCTCATAGGATCTTTTGGGTTGAATAACCAACCATGTCCTCCTGTGTGATTACCCAGTTAGTGTCACTGTCACAACTCTTAACATGTGGCTTTTTTGTCGACTTCTTCATTTTAACCAGCATTTTTTAGTACAACAATTCCAATATATGTGCACTTTCAACCATCAAAAAAAGAAGCACCCCACTAGTGACAGACTTAATGGAATAAAAACAAATTAGTTTGGAAGGAAAATTTGAAAGAGAAAATCCAAAATATGCCACACTACTTCAAATTAAGATGCATTTGATCCTAATGAAGTCAATAGTGATTCCTCAGGCAAACGGAAGTCAGGAAATCCATCACACTAAAAGTAAGGAATGCACACCAGACATATCTGGCAAATAGTCAACACTCAGAATATAAATTGGGGGTGGAAGAAAAATGAGGGATGAGTGCCAATATCTTCCGTCATGTGACACGGTCGGCAGTGCCAGGAGACGACCAGACCACGGCATCCAGGCAGAATCCATTAGCGGGGAGTCCTGGGGATGTCAATGACTTTGAACAGGAATCTGAATGAGCCCCTCAGAAACCCACCTTGGCAGCTCTCCTGGCATCCCGGCGCTGGAGACGGAGCCAGGCCTTCACCCGGGCCACTCGGGCGGGGGGCGGGGGGGCGCTTCCCGCGTCTCCTCGGATGAGATCCTCGGCTGCGTTCACCAGTCGGTGGATCGATTCCTTGCTGCATGACCTGAAGAATTATCAATCAAAACTGTATACGTACCCAGACTGAACCGATGCAGTGACAAAATGAAAGAAGAATAAAACTATCCAAATTAGAAGTATATCAACATTTGAAGAATTGAATGCTTTGATATCAACTGATTATATTCCTGAACTCACGGAAACTACAGAGAAGAGCAAGCCATGCATGGTACCACGCAAAAGAAGAAAATGAATTTGGAGATTTCGGATCATTTTCGCACCTTTTCAGAGTTTCATGGTCGTCTCTGGGCGAATCCTTGGACGCCTCATCATCAGCAATGCTATTGCTGCCTGTCGATTCCCGTCGGCTGCTTTCATGCATTACGTTGCTGATGGGACGTTCCTGGTGTCGACTTCCATTCAAATTCCCATTGACCTGATCTTCAGCCGTGTCGTAGCTCAACCCACTCAAGTCGCTGTCACTGAGACCCCCAACGTTGAGCCACTCTGAATCGGAGCTCTCGGTCCAGTCCATCTTCAGCGGCGAATCCGCCGACGCACCGTCGCTGCCGTCGTCGAGGTCCAGCCGCCCCTTCACCCGCCTCTGGGGGCTGACGCGTGCCACCAGCCGGGGTCGCGACTGTCCCGAATTCTGAGACTCCGGCTCCTGGGAGGCCTGTCGAAAGTGGAACGTGGCACAATTGGGGCCCCTCCAGTAGGCCTGACAGAGCTTCGCTGTCGTCGGAGAGATGCCGTTGGTCGCGGTGGAGCAACATTCACGTGTCTTCAGGGTCTCGTCACCTTCCATGCCGCTGTTACTGGATGCCTGCCAGGAGAGAAACAAAACACTGTACTTATCACGTGACAGCTCGATAGATGGCAATCTCACTGGGAAACAATTGGGTGAATCACTCCAACGTTACCTTGACTTTTGGCAAGCGTCACGAAGAATATAATTAATGTCATGTGGGAATCGGACCAAGAATAAAAACTGAAAATGGCAAATGCCAGGGAAGGGTTCCAAGTTCTCCGCTACACGAGATTTTATCAAGAAAAGAAAAAGTCCTTCGTCTGGGAAGGTCCTTGCGTCTAAGCGTCTCTAGACGAAGTCATTCCTGACTATTGCATGCTTCTTTAGCAACAAAGGATAGTTTTCGCAACCTGACAATATACTCCCAATTCAGGGCAATCATGGATAATGACACTTAAGTTACCTGAGCAAAGGAACAACGTTTTAGACTGATCGATTTCATTTCATAGCCATCGAAGTCGATGACTATGAAATTAAAACATCATCCGGAATGACACAGCAACTCCTTCCCACTACAGTAGTTCATTTATCATCCCTTGCAATGTCGGGGGGAAATCTGGAATGACCGGCAGAAATTTTGATGAGATTCGGGGGAGACTAAACGAGAAAGTAATGGATTTTGGAGCGAGCAATCAAGTATCGCATACCGTGATACAGGAGCAGAACTGAGTCTTCAATCCATATTCCTCCGGAGTCTGGCCTCTGGCGTTCAAGAAGGCATCCTGGCCCGGGGTATGAAGCCTCGGGTATTTGGCACAAGGGGGACCTTCATCCCAGTCCCCGCTCCCCAATAATTCCCTCCACCTTCTCCCCTGGAACAGAGCGTACAAAGACACCAGGTTGATGGGGAGATAAAATTCCAGCCGTGACGTTCGGTGTTCCCATTCCCCCTCGGAGACGTATCTACGTTTCTCTTGCGTGAGGGAGAAAATAAGAACGCGGAACTCTCCCTCTATTAAGGCAATTAGTAGTCGTCCATGCATATGAGAAGGTAGGGTCATCGGTCGAAAAATGCTTCCTTCCAAGACCAACGCACCTTTTTCCTCATCATCATCATCATCGACCCGGAAGGCATCGACCCCTATCTTCCTTTCTTTCCCGATGGATGCTATAAAAAGAGTGCATAGCCCTTCATCTCGACTGGGCTCGTGAATGACACCTTCTTTCTCTCCGCATCCCGGGGAGCGGGTTGTGAAGTCATAAACATGTCGCAAGGTTCCATGCAAGGTTCCACAAACCGCGGTGGGGTGCACGACATTAGTTATTCCCCCTTTCCTTGTCTCTTGTCCTGTCTTCGAGCATTTTCCAAAAGGCGAGATCATCGAACAGCCTCGGGCAACTTTTTTCTTTTCTTCCCTTCCCAAGCATTCATCAAAGGCGAAGATGACCAAAGATCGCTCCGAGTCAAAAGCACTCACATCCATTCTCACCATCTTTTCTTCCTCTTCCTCACATTTCTGCAGTTCCATCCGCATTCCACACAGTTACTTGGAAGCGAGACGTTTCTCTGTTAAACGCGCCTCTATGCAGAACTAAGTAACGGCTATCATGGTGCGCATTTCGCAACCCACAAAATGCTTCGCGGAAAGTACTGGAACGGAAAAAAAAGCAAGCAGGAAACCACAGACCGTGAAACAAGGAATATCACGTCGCCCGAGAAAGGAATCCAGGAACCACAACACACAATCCCTTCTGGCCCAATTCTACGGTATAGACGAGAGGGCAGAGCGAGAGTAAATAGGGGGAGGTAACGCCCACGCTTTTAAAAAACGGGTAGAGCGAAAAGGACGGAAAAAAAAACCTGGAGGGAGAGAGAGGGGATAAAACAAAAAAGTCCCAGGCTGGGGGTATACTGAATATAGATGGCGTATATCCGGAGTTCTTTTCTCTGTCCGTTACGGCTGGATGCCCAGAGGCGTAAGCGGACGAGCTATTACTTGCATCTAACCCGTTGATTAAATGGACAGGTATACGAGGGCGTTGCCATGGAAACCCGAGTAAAAGAAGTCACGGTGTAACAAGTGCAATTTTCTCCGTGCTTCCCCCCTCATTGTAAACCGTTCTAGCCACATCCCGTGAGAATGTTTGCATCTTCGGCTCCGTTCACCCTGTCGGTGCCAAACTGACTGATCTGGAGTGAAGCCAGGTGAGATACCTTTTTTTCACGTGAATGAACGAATGCAAGCCTACCGGTTCCCCCTCTCTCATGCCGTCTGTGTCTCTGGTTTCAGAGGTGACACCGGAGAATGCTTCCTCGTGTTTCTGTGTCACTTATTCCTGGACATATGCTCAGCCTCGATATAAAAAGGCGGGCCGTTATTAAATAGAATGGGGATATAGGAACACAGCATTCTGAAAGGCAGCCATTACAGCCCCGTTCCATACGTTGAGTTCGTTTCAAATGGAGCAGCCTTCGAAACCAGGCCTTGGGAAAGCTCGATGCTTATTTTTCAGGGACTCCTTCCCCTCAAATTGGATTGAAGGGGCCCGTCGGACCCATCCCTCGCAATGTTGTAGATGAGTTTCTTTCGTGACCGAGATCCTTCATTATTCAGAACCGTATCCCATCTCGTCACTGACTACATACGAGAAGATCGAGAAGGCACCGACTGACCTGTTGGGCGTTCCTGAGGGCGGCTTCGAGGCGGAACTGGGCCTCAAGGGCCTGAAGGATGAGGCGATGCCAGCGTCGTTCGAGAGCCTCCGCTCCCCTCGCCTTCTTCCTCCGTCCCCTCTCCTCACCCCCGCTCCAAGCACCAACTACACCCCGCACCTCAGTCCCTCTCTGCTTCAACTCCTCGCCCACCTCCTGCAATGAAGAGGCACCGTCATCGTGGGGCGCACAAAAAAAGAGCTCGTAAAAACATCCGTCTAGCTTCACACCTCTCTCATGAGATCAATGCACGGCACTTTCCCTTCTTAAAAAATATTTATGACCGAAGAAGGACACAAAAAAGTTGGCAGAAACGAAAGAACTTTCACGAATGCGAACTCAGACAGAACACCCCCTAACTACACAATCGCGTCCCCATTCTCCCTCGACACTGATGAGACTCGAGACACGATCCCTGGCATGCCAGGAAGGCCTTATCCCCTTCCGGAGCGAGAAAGGAGAGGATAAAGGCTCTCTTTTCTCTCTGTTGGTCAATATGGGGATATAAACAAGCCTGTCTCTGCCTCTCTCGTTTCCTTTCATTCCTTTTCCCCATTCTCTCCACCCCAATTCACACCCCTCCCTGTTTCCGCCCATCTGGAAATCGGACAATGCATATCCATATGCCCGGACTATCTCGATCGTCGAGCCCGAAGGCCAAATATTCTATGCATCGTGAGCGGGCACCCACTCGAGATTTTTTCTTGCATCATCTGCCTTTCTCCATAGCGAATCCTCATTAGCGTCCACGGACAAAAGACATGAACTTCGGAAACCCCCTGCCTTGCTACTAATTGCGTCGCTCCTCTCTCCTCCTCCGAAGCGCCCTCGGGGCATACTCTATGGAATTACATGTACAGGACGCGAATTGCAGGTTCTGTTCAATCCCAGACTCATTCGATACACCAGACCAGGGCAGCGAACTCTACGACCATCGGTTCAGTAATAAGACCCCTTATTTTAACAATTGGGTATCCAATTTTGCTTCATTATAACAGTACCAAAAAGATGGTTCCACTTGGGCGATTCGCTACGCACTTTGTTCCTTGAAGGATATGAGAGAGTTAATTACATAAACTGTCAAGGAGAAGATCACCCGAGGTCACAAGTAATCGAAGGTGGCAGCACTAATGCGAACAGGAAGAATGGCAACTACGACAGAGGTCAGTGGGCTAATGGGGAGAGTACCACTAGCTCCTATTTCCCACGTACTAAGGGGGAAATGGTATGGGGGGCGCCTTTTTTCCCTCTATACCTGATAGCGAGGGGGGAAAAAGGGTGGACATTAGGAAACGCACCTGGTGCCTGGTGGCACGTGCCTTGCCCCTTTTCAGGAAGAGCCCCCTACCATAATTCCCTTTCCCTTCCCCATTCATACGTACAAAAAGGGTTTACGTTAACCTCCCCCCTTTAAACATTCAACAGCTGATGTCTCGCCTTCCGGCAGAGACCTGGGTGGTACGAGAAACCCGAAGATAAGCCCGTGATGTACGAGGCCCCATGCGCCTCTGCATCATGACTCATGAACACGAGTGGCCAACAAACAACAACAGAGGAGCATGAAGATGGATCGGACGAGATCCACGCAAACACCTTCCTCCTCCTCAGCTTCGTACAGAGAATGAGTTCGCAGAAAACCCAGAAAATAGGCTCAAATTCTTTCCGAATGGACGGAGCAAACACGGGACATTCTTCAAAATGAGAAAACTAGTCTGGGAAAAGTTCCGCCCTTTCATTTCGACCTCATTACAAACACGTGTGATGAAGGAGATATAAGAGCACTTCATCAACCCTTTTAATCCTCATACTCATTTTCCACGGGCATTGTTCGGCCTCGCCTTCACTTTCTTCCCCCCACATCATACGCGATCCGCAAGGACCATCGAATCCATTTATCAAAGCCTGCAGACGCCACGCGGAAAGGGAGGTGGGACCCCGCGAGAGGCGTGGGCAGTCATGCACAAGTGTCGAGGGGAGGACGCCGAACAACATCGGAGGGTCCCTCGTATGCACGGCCAAGCAACATCATTAAGGCGCTGCAATAGGGTGTGGTTGTACAACCAAACTGGACCCCCCTCACTGCATTGTCACCACCTGTCACTTTCTCGACAATGGACGGGATCAACTCTCCCCTCGTTACCAAATCAAGCCTATACCGTGGATCCGGTATGATCCGGCTGAATCGATACCAAACGCATCTGCATCCTTCAATCAAACCTCCCAGCAATTTTCTCCTATTCACCGGCGGTCGTCAACTTTTTTCCCTCTCTTTTTCTTCCCACCGGGGCAATTATGTTTCCCAGCTGCAGCACGAAGATCACACCACCTGTCGGACCATTCGAACGGAAAGAACGAGGGGAAAAAATAATATGCACGTATTGTACCTGGACAAAAGTACCGTAATCTACGTCAGCCGGCGCGTGCAATCAAGCACGGATCGAAAGTAGCAAATGCAGCCGATGCAGCCGCCATATCCCACCCTCCCGCACATTCGTGCATGACCCGCGGTACCGTTACGAGTCAGAGATACTGGTACTTACGGGCACATCACGCCCACGAAGAGCATCGTAAATCCGACCTTTCTTTCATGAATATAAATTCATATTCGTTCCACGCAATGTAAATTCGAAGACGGCCTGATCTGGTTTTACTTTCAAAAGGAAACAAGCCTCTCCCCAATCGGGCGCAAACGAACTGAATCGAATGGCCACGAGCGGCGAGGCCGTGCAAAGACACCCCGTGTGTCCGCGACTTCATCCATGAAAAGCTGTCACGCAGAAGCGGTTTGAAAAGTGTCCAATAGAGCGGAAAGGAAGCCATAAGATGGAGGATATGGAAGGTCACATGTGGGATTTTGATTTATTTACCCCTCCTCCGTTCTTCCACGCACGTGGATGCCAAACCACATGACGTAACGCATCTTCAAATGAGAACGCTGAATAAGGCAAGATTCTCATTACTCCAGAACACATTCATTCATGCCTGAATGGCCAGAGAGAAAGAGGAGGAGGAAGAGGAAGGGAGGAGGTGGATGATAACGATAATGACGATGGGCGAAAGCGGCCGAGTAAAAAAAATAGGCGCACGCCATTTGGCAGTGGCAGGAGCGACCTGTAATCAACATTCACTATTCCGTACCGCGGCAAGGGATGGGCCGAGTCGCCAAGCATGGGACATGCACCCTGCACGCGAGACCCGCATCAATCATACGCATTCACGAATCCGTCTCGTGGGATGGGAAGCAGAGGACAGGGCATTGTAAGTCCCCATGTGTCTCATTGCCGGAGAAAGTATGGGCTCGATTGCAATATCGCAGGCCCTCGGGGCTCCTCCAGCTACGGCTCCACACTCCGGCGAGTAATATGGCAGGTAGAAATTATACTCGCTTCTGTCGCAAAGGCCGGAGGCTCGAGGCCGAGAGGTTAATAGAGACCTCTATTCCGGGAGGGAAACGAGATGAAGTCGATTTCGGGGATACGACCCGGGGAAGGAAGACACCAGAGACCGAGACGGAAATTCTCACGCAGACCCCGTGATTACAGAATGACAAGCCAGGCGGAAACGAACCATCGGGGTGAAGGGGAGGGATCCCTCAAAAATGACACGAAAATCGCCCCACGTTTTCCCACTCCTTCGCTCGATCTATTACGGGGGTCCCTTCCCATCTCTAGGCATTTTCTCCCCCCGGATCGCCGGCATGGGAACAAAGAAAGCATGGCAAGGGGGTTTTTCCGACCACGGCGAAGGGTGGCCGAGACAAAGGCGGTGAAGTGCCGATTCACTCCCATGGATGCTCTAAAAGGGGCATGCTGGCGCTATAGACACCCAGCCCCAGAACACTCGCCCGGTCACGATCTCGGTTCTCCGCGGTTCGAGGCCCATCACGAGCATCATGGGTGTCGAGTAACAAACCTGCCCCAACCCCAACCGAAGGTCCTTGGCCCTCTAAAAAAAAAAACACAAAAAAGACCGATCTTGAAGTGCCATGACGCATGTCTCTCCCTCCATGTGATATCACGCTCTCTCCAATGACAAAAAAAATGCCACGAACGCCTCGAGCCTTAGTTCGTGTTGGCTTTCTTTGCTCCAATTTTCTATAAATGATGTCGGATTCAATCGGGCACGGTGTTTGAAAAGACCCGGGCCCAGGGGGCAATCGGGCTACCTCTCACAAACGCTTTCGGATGCATGCATCCTTATACATGATACAATTCGAATGCAGCAACTCCTTCGCACAGTCCCTTTCGCTATCAAGTTGACTCCTTTCCTTTTTCCCACCTTTCTCAGCTCGGTCACGTCATTCGTCTCTAAGAGGCTTTTCGCGTGCGTCCGTACTGTAATCTATCTGTCTCCGTGTCCGCAGTTCCTTCCCATCCCAGTCTCAACACCATCACTTCCACCTTCACCGAGGAGAAAAAAAAAACAACTCTCGCAAGGCATGTACACATCGTGGCCAAGGCCACACCTGAAGAAGTCAAGGGTCCTGACTCGCGACAAGGGCTCACGGCGCATTCCCGCTCACGAAAAATTACTGACGGTAAATTATGGATGAGGTTGATAATCGGTTACTTGTCCATACATTTATGCAAGCCCTGCCAAGCCCCGCGATCGCGTGCCAGATACGAAATGAAGGGAGCTCCCGACCCTTCAACCACCTGGAATGAAATGCCACAGAGAAAAATCCTTTCTTCTGCATCTGCCGGTTCCCAGCTGCCCATGTTACGAGAGAAAACTTCCGTATCCGGCCCCTACTATGCGACGCGACTGGGTCTAGAACACCCCACACCATCAATTTCTATCACTAATGGTAACCACTTGCGAGAGATTTGTGCCTCCAGGTAGACGAAGAGAAAGACGAAATTCCATCGGAAGACAAAAACGAGGGGGGGAAGTCATGCGAAATCCATTTGTTTTCCCTCCCTTCGCCACAACGGGGAAAAAAAAAATCCGAAATTCGACCATTAAGACAAAGGGAATTCATCTCCAAACTAACTATTCTTCAACTGGGTTATAGAATGAATCTCAACAAGCGAATAAAGACGTGACCCGTGCCCTCTATTTCCATTCCATCAAGTGACGACCGCTCGCTAAATTACTTTTCCCCTGACAACTCCCAAAAACCATCCACCATGCTTTGAAAATCATGAACATACCCCGCTCGGTGTCTCCCATAAATCTCGACTGACTTCATTCTCTTTCTAATGACATTAGATTCACATTCTAAAATACAATGCTTCCACGTTTACTCCACTTCCGAATGCCCGAAGAAAAGATCTTCCTTTCTGACTTGACCCCCACCGTCAATAGATAAACATGACAAATGGTTATGGCCCACGTACAGAAAGAAAATGAAGCAATAGCCTTTTCTAAATCCTCGAGTCAAATCGGGGATAAACTCATTGAGCTCAGCGGGAATTCCCTCTGTGAATGGGAAGTTGAATTGAAGGCACCCAGCTATTATCCCCAGGCGATCAGACAATAGAATAGACTATAGGAAGATGCCGCCTTCTATCCATTCTCCGTCTATAGATTTATTATCTCATCCGTGGGAACAGAAGCAGGTTTTTCGCTCGTGCTCTCTGTTTCGGGCACACACAAAAATGGCAGAAAAAAAAAAACAAAACAAAAACAAGGTATGCCCTTGCTCCTTCAGAGGCCACTGCCGTCGCTGCTATGCATGAACCGATTTCCCTTCATTCGCGTGGAAGTGAGAAAACGACAAGGAACCAAGGGACCCTGCTTGAAAGGATCCGGGAAAGGCTGCCTTGAGGAAGATGACTCGGCTGGAGAAGACCTTTTCTTCTCCTACTCCTCTTCGACCTCTGGCCCCCTTTCGAAAACCACAAACAAACGCATATGCGGGACCTCTCGATTCCCTCACACGATCCGAATGCGGGCCGTGACTCGGATATTTCCCACGGCGGCCCCGGTCTCGTTGATCAATCACAAGGGCGGGGGTCTCGAGAGCCTCGTAGGGTGATATATTCGGGCATCGATGACCGCACCGCACCCCCACGGGGGAATCGGGGAGAAGATAATCACCCGATTTTTCATGCCTGCCCACCGAGGATAAAACGGTTCTGATTGCATTCCATCCAATCGGGTTGAAGCACGAGCATGACGACGCAAGAATCGCACGAGACACCCCGGGTCAAGCACATCCAAACAGCCATGAATGCCAAACCGATATTGAAAACTGGCAAGAATGGAAACCAACTTCCGGTTAGAATAATAGAGCCGCCTCCCCGTCCTGGTTTGTAGGATAAGGACGTTGTTTTCCCATCTCGATTTACAAGCATTTCTTCTCAAGTGGTGGTCATCTTTCCTCTCTCTTACCGTCCCTTTCACTTAAAAATCCTGTTTCCTGTCATGGAAA